GCAGTTCAGGAGATAAACAGTTGATAAGATTATGCGATATGAGATTTTTCCGTAACTCCTTCGGACCTCACCGGACAATGGCACAGTTTTAGTTACACCCAGCGTCACTACCCCCTCCTACCCTGCGAATTTCGTTCCCCCGAAATTCGGGGCGCCCCCGTTGCTTGGAACACAGCCATAGAGTAAAATCTTTACCCTTCGCTGGGACGGCTCGTGGGAGATTCCCATTTACATCATGAAGCAGAGGTTCAAACTCCAGTCAGAACACCACTGGCCACGAGCTTTGGGATCTGCTCTCATGGAGAATATTTATTTATATAGCATATTTTATTTTAGATGAACTAGAAACAATGTTTAATTTATAAATTTTATTTTGAAATGTAAGTCAATAACAATTGGCTGAAGCCACAGCCAATGGTAAAAGTCTTTGCACGAGGAGACCCCGCCCCATTTTGGAGGTTCTGCCCACTTTTGGAGTTCACGCCCCATTTTGGAGTTCTCCGGTCCGCAGTTATACCTACTTGGAGAATCGACTGATGGTTTTACTCAGCAAACACGCAGAGCTGTAAATGTGAACTGGTATATATATCCCACGGGGGGAAGCCCCGCCACACATAGAGCATAAGTCCGTGGGAAACACTGTAAAAATACTCACTTGTAGGAGCTGATGTTTGAGACTCAGTTGAAGGAGAGCTTGTAGTGGCAGGAGCTGCTTGGACATCTTGATGCATGAAGAAAAAAAAAGTAGATTTTTTGTGCATACAATAAAATTTTATACTGTGAGAATTGTTGTTAAAATAAAATTGCTGTTATATATGAATAAGATATTTTATTTTTTTCTATTTCCTATTTCCCAATGTAAATTTAACATGTAGATGCTGATGTTTGATACTTGGGATTTGACATGAAATAAGCACAGTTATTATTACAATATACCACATTAACAATAAAAACGAATAAAATACAGATATAATTTTTCTATTAACACATTTACTGTCACGCCCCTGGACTCTTAGTGTTGTGTTTTCCCTCCCCAGGTGTGCCGTGTTCCCTTTAATTAGTCATTCCTTGCACCTGTGTTTTCCCAATCACCCAGTGTTTAAAAGCCCCAGTCCTTTCAGTTAGTGTTTGTCGGTCCTCAAACGTCATTCCTTGTGTTCCAGTGTCTCCTACGTTCCCCGTGTGAGCATCAAAGACTTGAATTGAAGTTATCTCCGTGTTTCCTCGTTCCTCGCTCCTTGCCTCCCGAGAAGTGTGACAGAAGGACCGACCAAAACAGTAACTTCCGTGTATTCCCTTCCGTTTTTTTCTCAGTATTTTTCTTTCCGTTGTGTTCCCATGGATCTTTTCACTCGCCCCGAATTCCTCCTCCTCCTGTTGGAGCAGGGAGACAAAGCTCTCGAGGACCATACCAAACTGTTCCTGTTGGTCGCGAACATCACCAGCTATCCGGACGACGCGCTCTGCTCTTTCTATGACGCAAGCCCACCGATGACGGAGAGCCATTTCCCGCCCTCGATCCGCGAGCCAGAGCAAAGCCAAGCGACTGAGCAGAGGATCGCCTCGGAAGTTGAGCCCAACCCATCAGATCAGGTGCGAGAGCCGGCGACAGTGCCCACCACGAGGGAGCAAGCCATGGACG